AATTGGAAATTCGGTTCTCTTTAGCTTGATATGTCACTTCAAGTTTCGACGAATAATCAAAGTGCTTGGCTCAACACAGGTTCATAGGTTTGGAATACCCAACATTAATCTTAACGTTACTTGTTTATTACGCAGAGCTCTTCTACTTCTCTCATCATCGAGCAGAATCCAAACCAGGGTCGGTTTTCTTACCGTAGTATTGGCGTTAGATTTCAGTCTACCGTAATCAATTCGTTTCAAAACACCAATGACTCCATTTACTAAGCCATCAGACGTATCGATGTTAAATGTCATCATATACTGTGCATCGACTTTCAGTATGATCTTTTTTGGTAATCCACGAGTTTCACTCAATGATGCATCTTCTCTTGCTGAATGGAGCATCTGATTGACAGCGGTTTGACTTCTACAGTCACCGAGCACACGATCGTAGGCCGTGGAAACAGCCCCCTCGGTATCCATACTATTTAAAATGATATCATTGGTTGCCTTTACATTTCTGTTTGCATGGAATAGATTGATCGATTTAATTTTGCTGGGGGGAGGCAGAACTATTTTACCCTCCTCTAATAACTTCAATTGTTGTTCATCTAGCACCGCAACACAACTTTGGAACAAGGCTATATCAACCGGTGTCATTGAACCAGTGGCCAAGTTGTTCAGGGCAACAGCAAACGGAACATCATCACGTTCGCGCATGATTTCCATTAATTTGTGTACTTTGAATAAAGACCAAAGATCAAAATCAAATAACGAAGAAATTGTTAAAGTTGTGTCGGAGGCAAAGACCGAAGAACCACCCACTGGTGGTAGTTGTAAAAAGTCACCAAAAACAATAACACTTATACCTCCAAAAGGGATTGATGGTTCGAACATGTCTCGTAAACGCTTATCAATCCATCCAAAATGCTTTTTGCTGACCATGCTTATTTCGTCAATGATGACAAAGCGAAGATCTTTTAATGCGACTGCCATAGAGTGACCGACATCAGCAGACAATTGATTGATACATTTATCACCATTTTGGGATATGGGAAATTGGAATGCGCTATGTAGCGTCTGTCCTTGTATGTTGAATGCAGCTCTACCAGTTGGTGCAGTAAGAAGAACAGAAGGAGTTGACATATCACGCTCCCTCCCAAAATCAAACTCTCGCAAAAGAGACTGGTAAATGGCACAGATAAGCTTACTTTTACCAGCACCAGCGCCACCAGTCACAAAATTGTAAACTGGAGAATAGGTATTGCTACCATCTCTCAGAACAAACTCGGCTTTGTTATATCTAACATGACCAATGAGACTAGTCGGGTATGACCTCTGCTTGAAATTTAGGGTCGCCATCAGATTGAAGTAATCAATATCAGGTAATACGTTTGGAAGAACTAATTTTTCAAGATACGTTTTACGAGAACTTGTATTATCGGCATTATTGTTGAGATCCTCGTTAATATCGGCTCGGGTGTGATAATCACCTTCACTAGAATCATCCATCTCAGCAGCATATCTGGCAAAATCATTTTCTTCAGCGCCTGGCTCAGTACGATTGATTTCAGGATTGTTTTCACTGTCTTCATTTTCATCATTGTTTTCTCGGTCAGCTTCCTCGTCATTCTCTCCTGATAACTGTCTGTTATATTCGTCAAGTACAGCATCATCAATTCGATTGAATTCTGCCCTGGCCTCTTCAACTTCAGTGGAAAACTGGCGATAAACTCCCTCACAATCAGCATCCATAAGCTCTACGGTCTCATCACGCCATGGCTTATACAACATCAAGATTGCTCGAAAATAGTCTTCGCGGTCTGAATCAATATTAAATTTGTAATATCTGATGACTTTCGACTTAGTACGACGTTTGATCCATCCATTGTTATCTCCATTCAGCTGGTAAACTTCACCAGGTAAACCACCATGATCATTACCGCTAAGATCAGACGGAATGACGCTGTCATGATTGTCATCAATCTCACCATCGCCCTGATCCTCCTCATCTCTACCATTAAATGGTCTACCTGAGGATCTTTGTCTAGGCTTTTTTCTAGAATATTCAAAATATGCAGCAAATTGGGCCAGATTTAAGTTTTCGAAAACTACAGGACGGACAGTGTAATGCTCTACAATCGAAGGTTTAAAACAATTTGTCGAATCAGGGTTACGCATAAATTCTTCATTTAGAGCCTCTGTTTTTTTAACCATGTGTACCCGATTGCAGGGTTTTGCGGTTGGAACGAAAATACATCCCGTGCTGGCTTCCGACATACGTAACTGCAAAATGTTGTAGGAAGCGTCTTGAGCAGAAATCTCACAAGCATTATAATAAGTGGTTGCGATTGATCGAAGCATTTCCAGATTGTTGCTATTAGGGGTTTCTTTGTGTTTTTCAAACACTCCCTTTAACGCCTGGCTCATACCTTTGTCCGACCTATTTACATAGTCAACTACATAGGCACAACAAGCATAAGGATCCAAAATAAACTGAATGTCCATATTTGATCTGAACATACCAAAAATTTTGGGATTGTAATTATTGATCATAATTGCATTTGGATTACGCTTGATGAATATTTTGTTCATTTTTAAGCTGGAGCGTACAGCCTTATGGTATTGGTAAACAGAAGCCATGTTAATTTTAAGAAGGAACTCTTCGAAAGTAAAATTGTTGGTGGACAAGCTTTCAATGTTATCTTGAATGAAGTCCCTAATTTTTTTGTAGTCATTTCGGTGCATTTCAATTTGAGCTTCAGATTCTGTGTCCTCATTTAGGGGTACCAAAATAATGGCACGATCCATTGGTAGAAATGGTATATTGAAGCGGCAAATGACACGACCACCTCTTTTACGCTGACAAGAATGAGTGTGTTTATGTGTTTGCCGTTTCAACAAATGTTTCCAAGTAGCTTCAGTGCATACTCCCACATTACGTTCATGGGGGCTACCATCCCACTCCTTCTTGCAACTGATAACGGAATCTACAAATTCGCAAATTTGATCTGCTTCAGGTGATTCAGGATCCATTTCGTCTACATAGCATGGAGCATCTTTGAGCCAGATCAGCATATAGCATATGAACATGGGGAGAGCCTTACGGTATGATTTAGATAAAGCATGCCAAAATGTTTATGTATTTAATTAACCTACCTCTGTGTTGAAATTCGATTCTGAAGAAATACTCGCTAATTTCGTAGCCGGCAAAAGGTCCGTTAGGATCTTTCCAGGTTTTCTTCAACTCACGAAATTTATAGTCGAAGTAACGAGAACAGGTCACTGGATCACTTTGGATTAACCTTGCTTTTTCGGCATAGGCATTTCTTTTGCTTGATCTTCCGTTATAGTAACGTCATCTACAACTTTTTTCAAGATCACTAATAATTCGGGCCACTGGGTTTCGGCAGCCGAAATAGTCACGAAAAGCGTTGGAATACCAAACTGACGGATCATGGCCATTACGTCTTTTTTCTGGGCTTTCCAATATTCTGATGAGGAACGCACACCATTTAAAACTCTATAAGCTCGATCTTCGTTTAAATAGCTATCAACCATCTCGTCGTTTAACATCTCATTTACGCTATATGCCCCACCATTCCCCTTCGATTTTTGTCTAAGCATGATATTGACATTACTTGCCAATTTTTTTAGCATCAATGATCGATCAAGATAAAATAAGACGTCAGATCTTGTGACACACCTTCTGTCTTTTCTACGAGCAAACGATTTGGCCAAGTTTGAGGGTGATACCTTCTTTACCCTATTCTGTACCCGTTTGCCACAAAATACTTTTGGGAACGATAAATAAATACTATCTTCATCTGTAAGAAGTGAAAGAGGGATTCTATTTTCGCCAGGGGCCATTCTTAAGCTGCCATTGGCAGGATGGGAATCATCTGGAATAATAGCCGTTTCGTTACAGCCAGGATTTGGCTCAGTATCTTCTTGGTCTTAAGGAAATAATTATGTAAACATATTAATGATATAAAGCTGAATATACGAAGTAGCCCATACCACGTTGGGTCTCAGGATTATCATTTTCCTGATCAACCTCTTCAATTTCTTCTTCCTCAAGTTCCGCTTCGTTATCACTATTGTTTTGATTTTCATTTGTATTATTTGTGGGATCCTCATTTTCAGACAAGTCTTTAAAGAACAAAACAAACGAAAAAGAAAAAGAAAAGAAAAAAAAATAACAAGTAAGACAATGTTCACTAACGGATGGTATCTATATTTCATACCAATATCCGTCCCAACATAGTTTGTCTCAACCGTAGCTGATTCCATCCAAGTGTCATCCAACTCAATCTCATGTTCTATATAAAGAGGCTGCGTCTGCAAGAAGCTGGCAGCTATCCACACTTTAGCTGTGGAAATATTTCCCTTGATATAATCTTTTAAATATCTCATTCTACGAGCCAGGCTCAAATGAATAATGAAGCTATCATCCAATTGACGAGGGAGTGCCGAAACAGTCGTATCAACATTGACGGGCACGTTAACAATACCACCTTTGCTTCTGTATTGCCCACTATTGCCATGTAGTGTCCAGATTGATTGAAATACGTGTCTGGCAGCAACTAATCGTTCCTCCAATCTTGTCAAATCGTCGAAGCAGCAATGTGTCTCGGGAAAATCTAATCCATCAGCCAGTGCCAAAGTTGGTTTGACATTCTGCTTAATTTTATCTCTACAAAGATCGCAAAATCGAGCTGTCGTGTTTACATCAGTTGTGTTACTCGTGTTTACTCGGTTATTGTCTACGAGCCAAAAAGCCATTTCCACAATACTCTCGTCGCAATTCCAATCATTCCGTAATTTTTCTTTGGTGGCCTTGGTGTTGCAGTATTTACGAAAAAATAATCCACCGCAACAGCTGCATACCTTGGTACAGCCTTTTCTAATTAGACCCTCATATTTCTGTCTGACTCTTTCCCAGGCAATTTCCTATTTATAAGCATGTTAGTTTTCCATTTTTTTTTTTTTTTTTTTTTTTTTTTTAGAAATACAGTTAATTACTTCAGAATTAAGAGGTCTTCTGTTGGGTCTTTCAGAACGATCATCATCACCATCATCATCCCCAGATTCAACATCTGAATCAGATGAACTACTAGAACTTGATTCTTCAGGAATGTTACTTCTATTTTCAGGAATGTCATTTCTATCTACAGGAATGTCACTTCTATCTTCAGGAATGTCACTTCTATCTTCAGGGACCAAACTCGTCTCACGGTTTCTTCTTGCTCTTTCGGCTTCTGCCTCCAAAAAAAGAGGATCATTTTGAGCACGATTATGTACGTACTGCCTCATACGGGCCCGGTGTGCTTCATTTTCCTCCGGGGTAAAGCTGTCTCGTTGTTTACGCTTCAATAAGTTATTTCTTTCCCGAATTCTACGCGTTTCCTCGACCTCGTTTTCTTCAATTCTCTGCTGTCGTAATCGCAATTGATACTTTCTTTGCGCCAACTTGTTCTTTTCTCTTCTGCGTTCAGCCTTTTCTTGTGCCGTAAGCAAATCAAGTGACATTTTACGTTACTGAAAAAAAAAAATAAAAAAAAAGAACCCAAAACAAGCAGCCCTTTAAATTATCAATTTTTCTTGGCCAGTCACTCCATCTAACTTAAATCGAAGGCCGTGAATCATCAGATAGTCATAATATGGATATCATGTTCGGCCGTTCAGGACTTACAGCCCTTCACTCACTAAGCAATTTAAATCATGTAAATGCTTATTGTATATATGCTATGTTTAGCCGTTTGGGACTTACAGCCCCTCACTCACTAATCAGTTACAATCATGTAAATGCTTATTGTATGTATGCTGTGTTTGGCCGTTCGGGACTTTCAGCCCCTCACTCACTAATCAATTTTAATCATGTAAATTCTTATTGTATGTATGCTCTGTTTGGCCGTTCGGGACTTACAGCCCCTCACTCACTAATCAATTTAAATCATCTAAATGCTTATTGTATGTATGCTGTGTTTGGCCGTTCGGGACTTACAGCCCATCACTCACTAATCAGTTAAAATCATGTAAATGCTTATTGTATGTATGCTGTGTTTGGCCGTTCGGGACTTTCAGCCCCTCACTCACTAATCAATTTAAATCATCTAAATGCTTATTGTATGTATGCTGTGTTTGGCCGTTCGGGACTTTCAGCCCCTCACTCACTAATCAATTTTAATCATGTAAATGCTAATAGTATGTATGCTGTGTTTGGCCGTTCGGGACTTTCAGCCCCTCACTCGCTTATATATTCAAATTTTTAAAAAAAAGTGTGACTTCTGAAAAGTGATGATATTTTTAAGCACTGTTTTTGTTGGACATAGTATTTTTTTTTACCCTTTTTCCTTAGGCTTTCTAACTCCGTAAATACTCCGTGAAGAACGCCAAAAAGGCAAGGACAAAAAAAATGTCATTAGTTCAAATGATGTAAGAAGACAAACTGCAATTTTCTTTGCCTTGTGATCCATAGTTTGTCCTTGGCAAGCAAAGGAAGGACTTCATAATTATCATAGATATACTGGCGCACTTGTCCACGGAAAGTTTCCATAATTTCGAGCATACTGGTTTCTGCATGCAAATCGGTATTGAGGTGCTTTACCATGGTCATAAAATATCCCCGAGAACATAATTTCTTCCAAGGAGAGGAAGGTACCAGCCAGGCAATAGTCTTATAGGATTCATCGGTAGAAGACCTAATAGCTTCGACGGATGGAAGGAGCCATTCACGCATGTTTCTTTTCGTATCCCGTGCAAAGTTCACCTGATAATGGTCAGGTGACATAAATGCTTCCAAAAAGTCACCCACAAAGACCCGATCGCCAGCAAGAACAAAATTCGCCTGAGAATAGGACTCCACCTGCTCACATCATCAAGGTTCAAAGCAACGAGCCTACTCTTCATCTGGGAAACGAAGTTTGGCATGTTCAACGTTTACTTATCTCTCGAAATTATTTTTAAAACTATTGAGTTTTTTTCCATAGTTCTAATTCGTATTAAACTTATTATCGGCGAAACAGAGGATTTTTTTAATTTTTTTTTAATTGGTACAAAAATAAGAAAAAGTTGAATATATTTAATGAAATATGGTTTTAGATAACTATGAGAACTATCGCTGGATCGAATGTTTAAATTTGTTTTCATTTTCCATAACATTTATTCAAACTTTTGGTATATGCTACCATTAGCCGATTGGTTTTCAACGTCTGAAGACAAAAAGTTATACTTAGTTAGACAGCTGTCGCAATCGAAGAAGTTAGTATGAATGGTTTTCAACGATAGTCTATCAATTACAAATATTGTTTAAACCTCTTTTTTATATACGACGGTCATCATGCGGTTGAAAGAAAATATCCAATTTATTTCAGATTCGTTTTTGCAAGCAAGTGATTTGTTTTATGAAATTTCTGAGCTACCTGAGGATTCACCAATTGAGTTTACGCCATAGTTTAGCATATTAATAATATTGAAATAATGAAGTGGTGTTTTCAAGTCAAACATTTTGAAGACCACTATGTTTAGACTAAACAGGAAAACCAACGAACGTTTTAAAAATGTGTATCTGACGTTTTCGTGGGAATTGGACAAAGAACTCTCCGTGCTGTAATATTAGAAATAAATCTTTTCAATATTTTTATTTTGATAAAAAAATAATCATTACATTAATGATGTTAAAAAAATATAGTTAAATCACTATAAACTGTCACAAGGCGAGCTAACTTTAACGGGGAACGACAGTCTCACCTGCTAGAATGGAGGTGGTTTGGGGGAACGAGGAAAATCCATTTAAGAAGACGGCCTATGGTAGTAAGCATCAAGTTGTTATCTTCTGAAAAACAACATTCGTTTTTTGCGGCATAATTGTTTTGTTACAGGGGGACTATTTTATAGCGGGACGTTTTTCTAGAACCGAATATTTTTGAGCAGAGACATATCATTGTGGCTGCGGGCAAACGCCTCCTACAAAGAGTAAGACTCATAACTTTACATAAAATCGAAAAAAAAGAGTTCACATCAAAATTGACTATTAGAGAGAAAGTCATAACATAAAAATTGAGTTTTAAGTACAAAGTAAGTGTCTTTACTTACGAAGAACTTGCAAAAAAAAAACAATACTATGCGGGGTCCGGGGTATTGGGGGAGACATTACCCTCTCCTCCCTCAGTATAGTGTAAATAGCTTTAACCACTACTTGTAAAGCTCTAAAGATTTAGCGCAAAACAATTTTATTAAGAAATAAATTATTATGAAAAGAGTGAAAGTACAAAAACTGATTAAAAAAAAATACTAGCGGGCTTTTCACCGGAACTGTGTACGGATATCTCCGCTCTCTACATAAAGAGACGTAGTAATGTAGTATTTAATGAGTGGTAAATGTAAACACCATAATGCTTTTAAGCAACGATCTTTTTAGTATTAGCATCTGAATATTTTTACAGAGATAGAATTCAAAAAAACTAAGTGCCCGGATGTTTTCTCACCCCCAACACAACGCACCGTAGCATTACGCATTACATCATCATGCGTAGAAAAACACTCAGTACGCCCTTTTTACAAACAATACATTGTTAATAAAAAAAGAACTAAAAAAGTTATGTTTTAAGTGTGTGTCCTCTGAAAATAACATATTAAATTATCAAATCTTTAATTATGAAGCAGAAACATTGCGCAAAAAATAGTTTATCAGATACATAAACAATTAATAATTTTGTGCAGATCAACTTCATAGTTTGTAGGTAGGGACATCGTTTTCTTCCTGATATTACAAAATGTATAGACAAACATGGATGTTTCCTTTAGTGTCAAACAGATAATACGCAATGTTGATTAAAATATAATGGCTCGTGAGCTTTATGACTACATATTTATATTTTAAGTTTTTCATTGCTAAAGCAGGCCTGCGGCAGCACGAGGCTTTTTTAAAGTGCAGCGTAAGGAAGCATAGTGAAGATCGTAAATTTACAGCAGCGGAGCGAAAGTAAAAAGTTTTACTGAATCAAGGTTTTTTTTTGAAATGGCCTCGTTTTAGTAAAATTTAATAAACCTTATTTCTATTTTCATTGTATTGCAACCAAATATGATTAACTCGGCGTTCTTTCTTTTCTATTTAATTCTATTCTTCGTTTTGGAAGTCATCTAGTGTGTGGGATAAGGTCAATTTTGTTAATAAGACATTTATTCACGATACTCATGCGAATACAATTACCGTTTAGTCTTTTTTTGCCCTTCTGCAATACGTGCAGAGATCTAGGAGCCAATAAAATATATTAACAGCTCTAAACTCATTCCAGTAGAAATTAAGCACAATCATTTGACGCCAGAAATTTTTTGCAAAACTAGTAAAGGGTCTACAAGTTAGTGGTTTAGATTACACTTCGGTCTCTTTAGATAGAAATACTGATATGAATTATTCAATTGAAAGAGAAGTAATTCAATTACAATTTTTTTTGGTAATCTTGGGAAACACTAACCATTGATAAATAATAAATTACTTTCAAAATAAGGCAAAGGTTTTGCCAACTGTCTAAAATTGTGGTAAGTAGCCGTGGAGGAGAGAGAAGAGTAATACCCAATTTAAAAAGGGAAAAAGTTACTGTTTAAGCATTGCTATGAAACAAACGGGGAGTGAGTAACTTACATCCGTCTACCGTAGTTTTAGAGAATTAAAATTACGAGGGGGTTTGATGAAATTTCGACTTCTTTTTTTTCTTGCAATCATGTAGTTTAGTGTGTTTTTGTTTAAGAGTCAACAGATCTAAAAAAAATTAGTATCTATCGTAATTTTTTAAAATTTGTATTGTTATTTATATGGTTATTAAATGAGTGATATATATATATATTTGTATGTGGTTAGTTATAGAGTGTAGTATTTGTATTGACTATAAGGTGTAAAACGTTTGTACAGAATAGCGAATCATATAAATAGCATCAGTATTCACATCGAACGTTCTTTTAACTCTAAGTGGTAAATCTGCGTTAAACAAATATAGATCATCTGCTTTTCTTACTCGGGACATTGCTACATACATTTGATCATGAGATTCAATGCCATCTAAGTGAATAGCCTCAGAACAATTGTAATGCTTTGTGCCTTATGAATTGTTGTAGCAAAGGCAGGGACAATTGGAAACTGGGATCTCACATAGCTTGTATCTGGTATAGATCTTGTAATTCTTTGAATCCAAAGTGTTTGGTGGCTACCGTCCGACTTTTGTTTTAATAACAAAATATTGTATTCGTCTATTTCCATTATTGTTGCCAAATTACCACTTACCCAGCCTTGAGAGACGCGCAAGTTTTGAAGGAGCATGACCGGCATGTCGATTTTTAATTGTAACTCTTCAATAAGTCTTGTTTCTTTTAGGGCCCTAGCAGCTGATTTTCTGTTACCACCATTAAAAGTATCGATGGACGGAATTGTCATTGATTCGCCTGCAAGATTACAAAACTCCTTAATGTTTGCTCTGTCGACATTTTTTCTAGTTGTATAGAGGCGCAAACAGTTGGCAGGAAGGTCACGTTTCAATGCTGTCCGGGAATTGATGAACTTAATAACTTCTTCGTCATAATTACATACACGGACTTTGTTTAGAACATTGATAAAAACTTGATCAACTTGGCAAATTGGTGTATACAGTGTAAACTTGGTCTAATAGTGGTATACAGCTGATTCCCAGATTAAACCTTCACTGATACATACGGGTAACAACTGTGCGACATCACCAAAAAAAACTGTTTTTATGCCACCCATTGCTGCTGCTCTTTGTGTTGTTCTAATCAAAGCGTCATTCATGATATTTAAAAGCTGATTACTGATCATAGAAAACTCGTCTACTAGTAGCATAACTTTTGGGTAGAGTTTTATCATTTCATCTATCTTCACATAGTTGGGTTCCTGCGACGAAGGCCCCATTCCAAAAAAACGATGGATAGTAATTCCACTTACATTGAATGCAGCAACCCCAGTAGGAGCCATTTTGAATATCTATTAATAGAAAGTTATTTTAGAGCTGTGGATCAAAAGATAAATAAACTATCACTACTGTTGTGAAATAGAAAAGGGAAAGGGCAAGTACTGTTACGACTAAGTCGTCTCTAATTTTATTTTAAAAAGAAGATAGAGATAATTCTACAAAACTATCAAGGGGTATTTATATACAATTTGAAAGGTATCAAGAGGAGGGTATTGACAGTGTCCAGCACCGGTGATTCCATAACAAGCAAAATCTTGACAGTCATCACTTAATTGACGGTTCTACTAAATATGGGAAAAGAAGGCAGAAGGATGAAGGAAAGACCAAAGCCACGTAAAGAGGTTTATGATTTACCAAACTTAGTTTACCGAGGTCAAGAAATAAATTAATATAAAGAAGTAAATAAACAATTATACAAACAATAGCACTCATTTCCATATACGTATGGCTCAGGTCCTATGAGACTCTTCGCTCGATACACGTTACACAGCATTGTTTTATTGATAGAGGTAAATTGTGGAACAACTAATTCCCACCAGTGTGATTATATGGAATCATGTCCTTATTGGATCATCTCCGATAGTTCTACTCTAGGTGTGTTATTATGTTATCCTCAGCAACTACCTTGTATCCTTGTATCTTATAATGTCTTTCAAACATCTTGAGCAAGTAGGATTTACCGGTACCAGCCGCACCAGACACAAATGTGACAGAGTTGTGAGCCAGCTCAACATTTACTCTATCAAAGATGCTTTTTTGAGTTTCATTAGCATTGGTGTACATAATTTCGAGTTCAGATTGAGTAACGTCT